AAAAAAAAAAAAAAAAAAAAAAAAAAAAAAAAAAAAAAGAAAGCAATTGCGGAATGTCGTGTGACATTTTGCGAAAGACACTCGCAAAATGTCTTTCAAATGAAAAACAAAAAAAAAAAAAAGTTTCTGGCTTGAGACCCTCAGAGTCAGGGGTTCTCGTGGTTCGGCTCCCCTTTGACGTTGTTCTGTGGTGCCCTTGGATGAACCGGGCGTTAAGGGACCTGGTCCAACTGTACGGCTGGTTCAGGCAAATACTACAGCAAAAGGGTGAAGTTCAGCCTGAATCGCGCTACTCATACTTGGTACCAAGTTGGCGTGCACCTGGCTCGTTTCACAGCCATGGTTGTGCCCACGTATCGTAGAACAGCACCTGTTCTTTCTGTTGTGTGGTGCCCTTGCATGAACCGGGGGCCAAGTCCCACTTGCGCCGATTCTTTGAATCCAGCCATCGATCTTCGTAATCTACTGTCAGAAATCAAGAATTCGGGTAAGTGGGACTTGGCCCCCGGGCCAGGTCCCACTAGCAGCTTTGAGTTTCCTCGACGCCTGAATCTGGACGTGTGTGTGGAGCTGTGCAGAAATCGCGTTGAGTTTTCTCAACCGCACATCTCCACGAACGCGTCCAGATTCAGGCATTGAAGAAACTCAACGCTGCTAGTGGGACCTGGCCCCCGGGGTGTTCAGGAACCTTGTCAAACCACATGTCAGGTTTGTGGTGTCGAGTGTTTTGTAAGGGAAAAAAAAAAAGGTTTGTGCAAAATTGCAAAAGTTGAAGCTCAGCCTAGTTTCACCCGGATCAGGTTAGCCTCCTCATACTCGCAATGGTACTAAGTTGGCATGCACCTGCCTGGTTTCACTGTCATATTCATGCCCACTTATCGTAAAAGAACCCCTGTTCGGTCTCTCCTCCCGAGTGTCACCCTCCACCTGTGGGGTATGTGGGGTGCAAGGAGAGAAGAACAAGTGTCCAGCCAACCTAAAGGGCCTGACGTCCTAATTTCTGGATTTCAAGGATTTGTTTTGTAGTCCCCCGGGCCTCTTCCCCTGAATGAAAGGGAGGGGGAAAAAAATAAAACAAAATCCGTCTACCTCGTTTGCGAGGCCCTATGCTTGCAGGGGTCCCCTCTATATAGTCTTAGGAGTAGTGGTAGGAAGGTAGTGAAAGGCGAAAAAAGAATTTGAGAGAAGAAAATAGTGTCGTTTCAGAAATATATATGTATATATGAACCACCCTAAGTCTCTCGGACTCTGCAACGAATTTGGCAACTTAAGCCAGCAGTACCTCCGCCACTACACGGCCGCACGGAGCCTTCACCGCGACTTTCCGAGGCCCGCACCGCGACTTAAGACTGTTGATGAAAAATCTCAACGGCTCGGCTCCCAAAAGTTGCGGCGCGTTAACGTTAATTTCCAGCCCACACACACCATATCATTGTCGAGGTACGGTGGACCCGATTTCCAGCAGGTGTAGCTCCACACCAATAGATGGAGCCTTCAACGTTGAGGCCTACGGGGGTGCTCTAATCACTTCCTTGAGTAGGTTTTCCCACGCTGAAATTTGCAGAAAAAAAAAAAAAAGGCCTGCGACCATGTAGTGGCGGAGAGGTACTGGTGGTTTGAACCACCAGTACTTGGCCCATACATCGGCCTCGGGAAGTAACTTGAATAAAGTAGAAGCGATTCTAGTTGCACGAATTCGGGTGCTTCCACTCTTTCATCATTGTCGCGGCGGGTAACGCGTCGTGACTTTTTTTTTTTTTAACGCGCCGTGACTTTCGGAGGTTCTGGTGGTATAAACCACCAGTGCGTTTCTAAAAATAAAAGTAAAAAAAACACCAGTGCTTGTCCCATACATTTTGCAGAAATGCGCCGTGCATGCTGCCGTGTCGGCCGGGATGTACGGCGGGATGCAGACCCGCAGTAAGGGCCTCGCTCCATTACTCTCGAAATGTGCAAAACGAGAGTGAATCTACTGCTAGAACATGGAAAGATACACCGCCATGATTTTTGTCTTTTATGCATGTCGAGAGTAGTGGAGCGAGGCCCTAAGTGTCTAGGAAGTCTGAAGGGAGGACAAGGCTGCTTCTGAAACGGAACGAAAACGAGACCACAATTATTACGGACTAACGGTCGCTAACCCCTCTACGGACCAAATCTTGCTGTACAACGTGAAGGAGCGTAAAGGGTTGCCCAACTTCCCCTTCCCCTTCCCCT